GAAAAGAACCATTACTATCTTTTGAATATCTATAAAATTTGAATTATAATTTCCACAATAATTTACAGATAAAAACTATAGCCTAAAACAGAATTCTATTCTATTGCAAAAAAGTCAAGTCTTCATAGCCAAATATATAGTTATACAGACAGAGGTAAATCTCAGCAGATTTCTGTCTCTATTGAAAGACATACAGAGAAAGTTACATAAGTTCAATTTCATTCGTAGAGGTAGTATGATAAAAAAAAACAAACAAAACGAAAGCACTGGCCTCTGCATTCCATGACTTGTATCCACATTGGATCCTTAATAATCTTGCAATCTCAACCTAATTACTTTACCATAAAGGCCTCAATTTCTTAAGTTTCATTGCATCAGTCAAGGAACCAGCAGAAAACCAAATTCACACCCCAGTAGTACAGACAGTGAAAGTCCTCAGTCTCTCGTCATATAAAATGAAGGAACTGGTTTGGATGATATCTTTTAATTCTAAAATGTGATGACTCCAGTGATTTTAGATACAAATACTAAATGGTCGATTATATCTTCTTTCAATTTTATATGCGTTGAAAGTTCAAATATGTTCCATATATTAACAAATGAATATCACAGTGAAATAAAAGTCTAATGGCATCATAGTTGGTCTATATGAATTTATCTGTGTTTTTGTGTGGAGAGAGAGAGAAAGAGAAAGAGATATCAGGTATATACTTTTCCACAAATAAGGTATGTAATTACTCAAAAATAGAAGATAATAAGAAAGAATGATTTTGCTATATTTATCCAGCTGCATGATTTACTTAAAATCTATAAATTGACTCTGTGGTCTCATGTCTAAGTTATTTATTGACTTGGGATAAGTTTGAGATAAGTTTCAAATTGTCATACTTGGACTTCCATACAAATTTATATATTCAAGGTAGATCAAATCAGTGGATGACCCCTTCCTTATTCAGAGACATCCAGAGATCTAGGTAATGTTGCTTTAGTACATAGCTCCTGACTGAAGACGTAACCTTTCATCAGTTACTAGCCACTTGTCTATTATATCAGGCCAAGCGTAACAGAAATTCCACCATATGCAGATGCACTGTACCTCCTAAAAGTGTTTTTGGTTATACACAGCAGAATCATATTGTAGAAATTATGCTTATCAAATTGAAACTAGAAGCTGTGGTTGGCGTCACTCTGAAGATGCATTTCTACTGTAGTATGTACGGTGTAATGTATATACACAAAGAAATTGACGTTTAGTTTTCTCAGTGCTGAAAATTCTAATAGATGATGGCAAGTCATCCATTTGCTTCCAGACTGGAAGTAATTTAAAAAAATAATTTCTGCTATCTTTTTAACTGAGTATACAATGAATATATTGAATACAATTTGATCAATTAAAGAGAACATTATTCAGACTACATTCTGCAGTTCCAAAGGCAAGGGAAACTATCACTGGACTTAATATGAATTTTTCTTGAGTATTTCTGCATCAGCTACAAATGGATTTTTAAATTATGTTTATTCAAGCTGTATCTTTTCTACTCTTGCCAAAAGTAAAGTACTTTCCTTTCCATTTACTAAATACAATAAAATTTTTACTTGCCAGTGCATTATCTAAATAACAGCATGGCATGAATAAACTCAACAGGACCTAAAAATAATAAACAAAGTAGTAACTATACTTTTATATGCTTACTAATCTTTTGGAATTATATTATTTTTTAAGAAAATTGAAAAATATTTAACACATAATAAAACTCTGAAGATTAAAAAATAAGTAGAAAAATAGAATGCCTCTGCCTTTATTTTACAAGTCAAAAGCACAATTGTACTTCCAAGTCACAAAACTTGAACAACCACTATAACCAGGTTTACCAAGCAAAGGAAAGGTGGACACTTAATAATGCTGTCAATGATCCACATTCTGCTCAACTAGACACATTATTTAGTTGAGAGCAAAGGCTTTTGTTTGAACTGCAAAGGCCTGAACTATGGAAACCTGGGCTACATCATCAGTTTTGCTAAGGTGTGATTTTCAGAAAAGAAAAAAAAATACAGCAACTCTGCAACACACATCTAGATTCTGCCAAAGAGGAACTATAGAAGCTTGATTTGAAAATTTCTAGACCCTGTGAAAACAAACCAAAAAGGGGGAAGAGCATTATTTACAAGTTTATTTCCACAAAGCTATTTAATTTATTACAATATAACCATTAACAGGATTTAGGAGGAACACTTTGAAATGTCTAATTCTTATGCAAATAAGAACACTGTAAACAGATATCACTTCCATTGTATCACAGGTAAAGAACTATGGTAAGGCAATTTAAGAAAATTATAAACAAAATGAAGGCTTTATGTCAGATGAAATCTCTGATTTTTAATTAATCGCTATCATAAGCAATTAAAATATGGCATCCCTCAGGGTTTTCCAAAACCTTGTGTTCTTTATTTTATTTTATCTTACATCAAATTTAACCACAGAAAATACATTTTGGCAGTTGTATAACAATTAAAGTTAATATATTTTTAAAATGAAAATAGAAAATCATCTCCTTATGGTACAAACAAAAATCAGAACAAAAAAGATCCTGTTTATTGTGTCAGATGTCTAAACAGAATGTAACTTTGTAAATGGATCCTTTTTCCCCTGACAGCAATATTGAAGAGATGAAGAGTATCAATTACTATTACTAATTACATTAAGGGGAATGTGTTTCATTCTCCTTTATTTCATTTTGGCTCAGCTATTTATTATGGTTAAAACTTTACACGTTTTTTGAATACTGAACGACATATAAGTTTTCCAGTCACTTTTGGCAAACTGCATAATTTATACCGATGGCTTTGCAGGTTTTCTATTTTGGTATATGGACTTCTTTGCTCTGTTAAGAGTCTAACACCATACATTAGTTTATTTATAGGCCTATCACTTTGCCTTTTAAACAGGATGCCACAACAGTCTTGATATTGGCTGTCTTAAATGCTCAAGAATATAGAGCCAACCTCATTTGATGAGCCAAATAAAGCTTAAGTGACAGCACAGATCATGTGAGGGGGTTGTATAAAATATCTATAAATCTGCCACTTGATATGTCTCCTCCAAAGTTTAAGATTACACAATTTAGAATGCAAATGCCATTCAGCCACGGGACAAAACGTCCTATTAGGATGACAGCGAAGAAGTAAACATTCTGCAGAACGTTCACGTCACACACGTTTGCACCACAGGTTATCATTTTCCAAGGAAATTTCTGTAGATATAAATTTATTTGTGGGTGTTTCTAAGTCAATCTTAAAAATGTGGTATTATTTTAACTAGATGTGTCCTTGTTTACAAAACTGATAAAAGTACCACAAACAAAACAAAAATCTTCTTCTAACTCCAGGTAAAGCAATAACACAATAAATATAAACTCTCCCCTTAGTAAATTTCAGGTTAAAAGAAATAAGTAACTCAGGCTCACCGGCATCACAAATTTTCAAAAGCCATTTAATGTAATGAAGTTCAAGCCTGTATTTTCTTTAATTGCTTTGACAATTGGATATAAAACCACGTTAAGTCTGTTTCTCCTTATCCAAATAGCTACAGTAAGGTACTCTAAGTAGCAAATATTTCTTTAGGAAATTGATTTTTAAAACTATGAAAGCAAAAAGGAATTAGCATCTCTTTTCTATGTCTTTAATGAGCCCATCAATCATATCTTCAATGACGCTATAAAACAAGTTTTTCTTTTGCCTTAATTCTTCTCAGATTGCACATTCCACATGCAAAGCATATTTAATAGAAAAACTATTATTCAATATTATTTGACAGTCATAAATGTGCTTTTTGAGATGAGTTCTCAGGATAAGAAATATATGGTATTTTATTAGTGGGGTTGCTACAGCATTAGACACAGCAGTTTCCAAAGGTTTTACTTGCTGAGTGTCAGACCTTGGTGGGTGTAAAAAGTAAACTTTGTAAGCATTACATATATCACACAAGCACAACTTCCAAAAATAAATTTTCGATTTTCTGAAGTTCATCTCAAAATACGCTTTTTTAAACTGTTTCCACGTTTCACTGAAAAACAACTGTATCAAATATTCCATATAACCTTAATAGTGTCAGGATATCACAATGCAGACCAAAATTTTCTTGTACACAGTGCATCAAACAAGAACATTTCTGTTGCTTGGCTTAAATAATAAATGGGTCATGTACTTTACTTTTGCTTATAAACTTGTAATACCAAACATGAAGAATATAAGTGCTAACTGCATAGCCTCACAGAAGTCTAATTGTTACAGACACTGAAGTATTAAAAATGTATATGCAAACAATGAATCATGGAACACTATATCAAAAACTAATGATGTAATGTATGGTGATTAACATAACGTAATAAAATAAAATTTAAAAAAATGTAGTTTTGCATGATATTTGCATATCACTGAATATTTTTAAGCCAACATTTATGTCAAAGTAGTCAGTATTTAATTATCTCAGACTTGGTACTATATTTGCATGAACCAGCCTCTGTGATCTGTAAAATCCTACATAATACATAACACAGTTAAATCTTTTATAGTGTCCAATTTGCATAGGCACCGGTAGTAACTTTAGAAATTTTCTCCCTGGATGTAATTATCCACTTAGTAGCCACAAAACAAAATAATTTCAGGTCAAAACTAACCACCCAAACAATACATGCATGTTTATCCTGAAAACAGAAAATGTAGGATGCATTAGTACTGTCAAGTATAAAGTACTGCCTACTTTGAATATGTTCTGAGGTAGGTTAGGAAACACTGGTTTGGTAACTTGGAAAATGCAACGGTGCACCTCGTGTAGATGGCCTGTATTCAACTAATGATATATGAATTAATATTAAATCACTGCCATTAAATTTTTAAATAATAGCTTTAAAAGAGAGAAAACAAAACTTCACAGAAGATACTCTGTCTCAGAGTTACTAGCCTTTCGTGGGATATTTAAATATATTTGGAATACATCTTACCTGTTTGCTGTACTTGTTATTGGTTTGACAGCTGTATTCAGAGCAGTGATCTGATCCAATTGAAATGTTGTCTCCTGCTCCCACAAATGTGTTGGCTGGTGGTAGATCTTGTACGGCCTGGTGTTTTTTTCCTGCAGTTGGTGACTGGGGGTGAAGCTGGACAGTAGGCAACGGAGAACTAGATTTGTAATGCCTGGCCAGGTCAGGACTGCCAGGCCCCCCATTAACAGATCGGTATCGCCCCATGCTCGGGCTGTCTGACAGCTTCTCATTGACACTATCATACCTCTGTCCATTTGGTTTAGAAGCTTCTACAGTGACAATGCTGCTGTAGAGAGGCTGCTTAGACTTTTTGTTTTTCTTGTCCTTTTTAGGCTTTTTAGATTTGTCGTGCTGCTGGGGTGTAAAAAAGTCTTCATGATCCTTTTTGCCAGCTTCATAGCCATTTTTATTTTTGGACCGGCAGTACCTTGCCATCACTACAATTAAGATGATTAGAATCACTGTCATAATTCCAGCAACCACCCCAATGACAATACTGAGTCTCTGTTTGCTAATTTCATAACTTGGGTCACCAGCTATATCCTGGGTGAGTGGGGTGTGCAAACTTCTGGCTATCTGGGAGTCAATCACAGTTGCATTAGAAACACTTTCATTGACAAACACATGCACCAGAGTCGTGGTGGACTGGGAAGGCTGCCCACTGTCATTCACTTGCACCACCAACCTGTGCAAGCCATAATGCTTTTGGGTGAGTTTTCCCACTAAAGAAACCACACCACTGGTGGAATCAATCTCAAACAGCTTGAAGGGATTCCCTCCCACAATGCTGTAGTTAAGGTCTGCATTGATGCCATCGTCACTGTCTGTTGCCAACACTGTAGCTACTACTGTCCTGACATTACTTGAAGGTGGCAGTAAAGTGTAGGAAATGTTTCTGGGAAGGGTAACTGTGGGAGCATTGTCATTCTCATCCATCACAAAGAGAGAGACTGTGGCTGTGGCTGATCTGGGAGGATCCCCCCCATCCACAGCCTTGACTCTGAAGGTGTATGTGGTCTGATGTTCCCGGTCAAAAGACATTGTGGAGTAAATGGTCCCTGTGTCATTTTCAATGGAAAAAATGTTACTGTTTTCCTCTATGTAGAGGCTCATCTCTGCATTGCGCCCCTTGTCTGCATCCATCACCGTGACCATCCCCACCGGGCTGTTGGGCTGCAAGTTTTCTTTCACATAAAAGGTAAAGACGTCCTGCATAAACTTAGGGTTATTGTCATTCTTGTCAGCCACCTGCACAATCACCGTGGTGCTGCCCTGCAGCACTGGGATGCCTTTGTCTTTGGCATTAACTTTAAACTCATACCTGTCTGTCTGCTCTCGGTCCAGCACCGTATTGACAAGGATGTCCCCAGAATCAGGATCGATGGCAAAGATCCCCATCACGGAGGAATCCAGAGAGTAGGCAATCTCTGCATTTTTCCCACTGTCCGCGTCTGTCGCCAGCACCGTGGCCACCCTCTCTCCAGGGATGTTGTTCTCCGGAAAGTAAACCTCCACCACGGACTGGCCAAAGACGGGCGGGTTGTCATTGGTGTCTCCTACCTTGACAACCAGGGAGTTGTTGCTGGAGAGGCTGGGGCTGCCCGAGTCCACCGCCACAATGACCACGTTGAATTCCCGAGTGGTCTCATAGTCCAAAGGGGCCGAGGTGTGGAGAAAGTACTTTTTCTTGTTCTGGTCGCCCTCTGTGTCGCTGGCCGGCTTGAGCTGGAAGGGCACGTCACCCACCACGGTGCAGGTGACTACCCCATTCTCGCCTTGGTCTCGGTCGGACACCTGTACCAGAGCAATGGGGGTGTCGACCAGAACATCCTCAGCCACGTTGGCCACCCCGTCCTTGAGTGGGATACGCCCGATCTTGCGGATTTCAATGGACGGAACATTATCGTTCTCGTCCTTGATGTTGAGGACCACTGTGGCCTTGTCGGTTTTGGGGGGCTGCCCGCGGTCGCGGGCCATGACGGTGAAGCGCAGCTGGTTCACCTCCTCGCGGTCGATACGGTGCAGGACACTGAGCCAGCCGGACGTCTCGTCCAGGCGCAGCAGCCGCCGCACGGATTCGGTAGCCGCTCCGAACACATACTCGATCTGTCCGTTGACCCCCACGTCCAGGTCGGCGGCACGCAGCTGCAGGATGGGAGTCCCTGGGGCGCTATTCTCGGCTAGGTCAGCCTCGTACACGCTCTTCTCGAAGCGGGGACTGTTGTCGTTCACGTCGGTGATGAGTACCCTCAGGATGGCCTGAGAGGAGCGAGGCGGGTCGCCACCGTCGCGCACCCGCAGGGTCAGCTCGTAGGAGTCGCGTTGTTCCCGATCCAGCGCCCCCTTCACGATCAGCTGTGGCTGCTTCTCGCCATCCGGGGTGTCGGCCACCTGCAGTTCGAACACGCTGCTGCGGCCACTGGGGTTGGTCCCGCCGCCCCCCTCTGGTGCGTCCGGCCGCCTCTTGGAGCCGCCGGGGCCGCCGCCGCTCGCGCCGTTCCCGCCGCCCCCGGGGTAGGGGGCGCTGTCGGCAGGCCCAGCACGCCGGCCCTCGCCGCCGCTGCCGCCGCCGCCGCCGCCGCCGCCGCCGCCACCGCCCCCGGGCTCCTGGAGCAGCTCGTAGCGCTCGATGCCGTTGCGGCCGAAGTCACGGTCCGTGGCGGTGGGTAGCAGGTAGAGAGTGCCCACCGGCCGGTTCTCCTCCACCGTGAGCGTGAGCACGGGTGACGGGAAGGTGGGCGTGTTGTCGTTGATATCCAGTACGATGACCCGACCCTCGAACAGGTCCACCCAGCTCTGCGAGGGCCCGATCACCGACACTTCGAAGTCCAGAAAGCACTCGTTCTCGTCGAAGATCATCTGACACTGGGGCAGCTTCTCGCGGTCGATGCGCCGCTCGCTCGTGCTCAGCTCGCCGGTGAGGTTGTCGATCTTCAGGTACTCCGAGCCCGACTCGAGGCTGAAAGTCACCTCACCCGAGCCAGTCACGATGCCCAGGTCCGAGGCGACGTTGCCGATGCGGACGTCCGCTGGGCCCTCCTCGGCTAGTCGGTATCGGAGGAGTTGCTTGGCGGCCGCCAGGCTGAGCGAGAGCGGCAAGAGGAGACAGCAACCCAGGCACCAGCCGCGCGCCCATCCCGCGGTCCGCATCCTCAGCATCTTCTCCTGCTGCTGCTGCTACTGCTCCTTCTAATCACAGCCCCCGCGGCGCCCCCCTCCTCCGGGGCCGGCCGCCTGCCCTCCTCCCAATCTTCTTCTCTCTCCGGGAAAGGAGGAAGGGAGAGGAGGGAGGGGGCAAGAGCACCGTGCGGAGTCGGCCAGGGGGACCAGCGATAAATCCTTCTTTTTTTTTTTTTTCCTTCTGCTTCTTCTGAAAGTTATTGTTTCATAATTCATGCAATGGGTGCTAATCGCCCGCTCGCCGGCCGCCGTTCAGTCGCAGTACTCACAGTTCACGGGACACTGCGCGCCGCGGGCTTGGCGCCCCCCCAAAGTCATCCCCGCAGCGGGCGGTGGATCCCGAGCTCCAGTCCCCGCTCTGTCGGATGGGGTCGGAACCGCTCCGGCAGGCGGGCGGTGGAGCCGGGAAGCGGCGGGGAACAAGCCTGCAGCCTCCCCCGCCTGCCAACCCCGTTCGTCTTTGCTGCTACTCGAGTTGAGTCCAATTCACGTTCCAGCCACTCACTCCAGACCCAGCTTCTGCTCCGGCTGCCCAGGCAAACGTGAGTTGCTTCCTGCACGAGGCGCTGGGGCCAGCAACAAGCCAGTCTGAACTCTGACTCCGCTCTGGCAGCGGGGGAGCCAGTCAACAGATCGAGAATGAAAAATCCCTGGCAGGTCGCTTCGGGCACCGTGCAGTGGAGACCACTCGCGTCACACAGCGGTCCGCGTCCGGGTCCCCGCCGCGCGCCGAAGAGCAGCCCGAGCCATCTTCAGAGACGCCCAGAGAGTCAGTCCCTTCTCACCCCCAAGAGCTCGGGTTTCTCTTTTTTTCTTAACAACTCTGCGCAAGGTCATTAGTCAAGAAGCCGCCGCCTGAAACCGCAGCAGCCGTTCGCCCGCGGGGGCGAAGGCTGAGCCGTGCGCACCGCGCGGTGCCCAAGTTTGGGTTCGCAGCCGCAGAGTCCGTGCCTTTCCTCACCTGCATTCGGCCCGCAATTCGGAGCACTGGGATCTGCAGCGCTGTGCGCGATTCAGGGAGGAGATTGCAGCCTCTCTCTCTCCCCGCTCTCTCTCGATCCCTCCCCTCCCTCCCTCTCTCTCCTCCCTCCTCCTCCTCTCTCCTCCCTCCTCTCCTTTCCCCTTTCCCCTTCTCCCACTCTCTCTCCTGCACGCTCCCTCTCCTTCCTCCCAGTCCCAATGCTGGCAACTCGAGCTGAACTTGATCCCTTTGCAGTTCAAAGGTGAGCAAACCAGGCTCGGTGCTCAGGCGACGTTGGCCTGGTGAAAGCCCCCGGCCGGGCTCCCCCAACGGCAATTAACAAAGATGCCCAATTCTGTCCGGATTTCCGAAGAAAAGCCAAAGGCGCTGGGGAGGGGGTGAGCGGGAGGTGGAGTCAGAGACAGCTGCCAAGTAGCTTAAAAAAAAAAAAAAAAATCCAGTTTGCCAAGGGGAGAAAAAGTGCCAGTCGGTTGTTGCCTCGGAAGTGCCCTGGCACGGCGGGTGAATTCCGCAGTTGCCTCGTCCCCTTTTGCGTCTAGGAGAGTCTGGTGCGGGCGCGCTCGCCGCCCCTTGGACTGCCAAGGCTCAAAGACGCTGAATGGCAAATAGGAAGCTCCCGCTCGCTAGCCGCGAGCCGGAAACCCGCAAGTTTGTCCAAAGTGGTGGCTGCTGCTGGGAGCTCGCTGGCTGGCTTGCGGCTCAAGCTTGTCCCTGAAGCTGCTGCTGCTTGCGGCGGCGGCGGCGGTAGCAGCCTAGCCGCGGAAACTACACACTCGCGGAGAGGGAGGGAGGAGGGTTGAGGGGAGGAAGGCAGAAGGGAGTACTAACCAGCTGGCCCGCTCCGGAAAGCCCAGCTTCAGCTCCGGGGGCCACTCCTTGTGTGCACAATCCAGCCAGTCCCCGTCCCCTTTAAGCCAAAGCCTATCCCCCTCTCCCCAGCGAGCGCAGCCACAGTCCAGTCGGGGCACTTGCTTTCCCTCCCTGGGGCTGGTAAATTTCCTCCTCTCCCTGACTAATGCCTAGTGCGTGTGTGAGAACACTGAAGCGGGTGTCAGGAAAGGTTTCTTTTTTTTTTCTCCCCCCTTCTCAGGCGATGCCCCCCATCCCCCGAAGTGTCTCCGTTTCGAGATTTAGCATCTTGGTTAGGGCATGGTTAAGGGTGGCTTAGGGGATCCTGCGTGCGCCCAGGGAGCCACGCTGGTGTTCTGAGAAACCATGATGGGCTGCAGTGGTTAAAAAAAAAAAAAAAAAGAGAGAGAGAGCATCAAACTCCAGAGAGAGCCAGAGAGGGATCCTTTTTTGGGAGTGCAGACTTCGGAGGGCTGGGGTTGGGGGTTGGGTTGGTGCCTGTCTTTGTTTAAATGCTTGGCATTCCTGTCATCGTGCTTGCTGACGGGGGTAGACCGTGTGTGTGTGTGTGCGCGCGCCTGGGGAATAAACACATGTTGGAAGCCTCGGTGTTATTTTCTGAGCAGAAACCTGCAGCCTTTAGTAACTGGCAAAGTGTAGCGTCACCTATCTGGATAAAAGGGAAATAAACTTTAATGGCAACTTTGTGTACCGAAGCGTCCCTAGTTCCGTTTCTCTCCTTCTTCTGACTTTGTGCCACTCGATCGTACGTGGTATTCCCCCACGCGAGGCTTCCCCAGTCTTCAATCACAGCCACTGCAGCCCGCCTCATCAGATCTCAGTTGTGCTTGTGTTTTTTAAAACTGTAGCCATTTGCTCTTCATTTATTTCAGTGGCTAAGGGGGCCCGTCAGGATTAAGTGGGCTGAGACGGGCAGGAGGTATTTGGGGACAATCTTACCATCTCAAGAGAGCAAAGAGGCTGCTGTTGGTTGGCCCTCAGCCCGTCTACCCAATCTATAGGCATCGAAGGGCCTCCCCTTAAAGGAAAATTTAAGATGAAAAGAAGAAAAAAGAAAGAAATCCGTCCAGAGTGGCTACTATGCCTTTACGAGACCTGTGTGTGGAGGCAAAATGATTTAAACAAGACAAACACCAATAAAGTCTACGAGCAGATGTAGCGCGCGGTTGTTTGGGCGGGCGCAGGCAGCAGAAATGGGGGGAGAGGTAGCTGAGATTTCCAAGGTCTCCCTATAGGGGATCGTGGAGGCGCGGAGGATGAAAGTGCCAGGGAACTGGCGAGTATTTTCCAGTCAGCTAAAGCAGCTGCGCTCAGGGTGTAGCGGCTTCTCCTCCCCGGCCAGGCGAGGAACCCGGCCACCCCCACATTCCCCAAGCCCGTCGCCTCCCGAGTCCCTCCGCTCTGTATCTGCAGCATCAGCGAGAAAAACCCCGCGCGCAGACTCAGTGCACACCGCCGCAGTCTGGAGCCGGGGGGCGGGGGCGGGCGCCGCAGCGTTTCCTTGGCCCGCTAAATGGCTGTAATGCTAAATCCCCTTATATTTGGAAAACTCTGGTTTATCAGAATTCTTGCCTTCCACGACACCCGGTCCCCCTTTTTTCCCCAGGGTCCAAGGTGAAAGAGGGAAGCCTTTTCCGCTCCGCGGCCTTGCGCCCGTGCATTCCGATGCGCGGCAATATGGTGCAGCGCACTCACTCCCCTAACCGCCTTTACTAAGATTTTGCAAACTCTTGGCAGCCGCGTGGGCACAGACTTTGTACACCCACTCTTCCCTCGCCAGACCATAAACTTGAACAAGCCCCTGAGCATCTTCAAACGTTCGCCCACAGCTCCGGCGCGCAATCTCCAGGCGCACACTAGCGAGGGGCGAAAGAGTGGGAGGCTTTTCCCCAGAGCGCCGCAAATTTCTTCCCAGATGACGGGGGATGGTGTGTGTGTGTGTGTGTGTGTGCGCGCGCAGCGCGTCCTTCACAGTGGAGTGGTTTCCTCATTGCGAGCGGGAGGTAGTCTCCAGTCAGCTCTCCTTACTCATCCCGACCAACTCCGCTGCCGAGCCAAGCCAGCGTGGGAAATGGGTCCGACGTGTGCGGCATGGAGAACAGGGCGCCAGATCGCCGGGGCCGTGAAGCCTCCCGGCTTTCCACCCTCCCCCATCGGTCCCCGCCTCCGACCTCTCCGCGGGAGCAGCCAAGGACCGGCTGCTTTGTCCAGCAGCGCGGTTCTTGGGCAGGGGAACCGAATAGGCGGGGTGGGGGTGTGGGCGAGGTGCGAGGAGCCTTCCGGGCGCCCTTGCCGCGGTCGGAGCTCCCAGTCCTGTTCCGCCCCCTGTCTGGGGACTGACACTCCAACTCCAGCCTCCCGCCGGCGCGGAGGATGAATGGAGGCGAGAAGCTGTTTCCCCCACCCCCACCCCATTTCCGCAGTCTTAGAGCCAGTGTCACAAGTGCTCGGCAGTTTCATTAAATGGAACTAGGGGACTTAATCCCACCCCCCCGGTACCAGACCTCACCACGGGAATATGATATCCGGATTCGCTCCCACCCACAAACCCCGCCCGGCTTTTCAGACTCGAGGCAGCATTTATCTTCTCAACCTGAGAGGAAAGGGTTCAGAAGGAAATGGGATCGAAAGTGTAACCGGCTGCAATAAATTAAAGAGCCCGCTGCCGCTGTGCCGCTGTTGCGGCTGCTTTGGCGGCCAGAACTGAAGATAGAAAACGAGATCAGTTTCCGAAAGCCTGAGTTGATCAGAGTGATAGCACGTCATCGCTTGCATGAAGCAAAGTATGTGAGAGAAGGTTGAAATGTTGGGGATTTGTGTATTGTCTCTTTGTTTTTTTTTTTAAAGGAATATAAAGAAAAATGACCCCTTGAAACCAAGATATAAAAAAATCGATTAAAATAGAAATGCTATCCCGTTCTAATAAACATTTAATCAAAACTTGGCCAAAGATTCCTTTTTTTCTATGCCAAATGTCCTGCCCTATACTTACCACAATCGGTAGTTTTTTGTTGTTGTTTTAAATTTACCTACTAACCCTGCCATCTTAAAACTGCTTTGCAGTTAAGAAATTTCAGTGACTGAGCTGAAAAATAGCATTCAAGGTCCGTGATGTAGTTTAAGCCTCAAAAACACAGGAAGGGAAGTAACAAGGACAACAAAAGTGTATGGGTAAGAATACAAAGAAGTAGGCGCCGAAGATAAGATCTCGGGGGGGGGGCTTTCATTTATTATAGACGCTGTATTCACGATAGTACAAGAAAAAGGTTAAATACAGTAAACATGATAGCCAGTTCTGGAAAGAAATATAAAGCAGTTTGACGGGAAGGGAGAAAGTGACTCAAGAACTCCACCAAGGGACAAACAGAGGAAATGACACCCCTAGATCTCCAAATCCATTGACCTTTAGTCTTTTTAAAAAGGGTCCTCTATATCCGTTTACACGTGCATATATATGTTTTCCAGGCCTTTATGATGAATCGTTTCTCCAACTACTTTTGATAAAGTTGATTCTGTAGTCTTCCTTTTCCAAGTAATTATTAGAAATTGTTGTCCCTTAAACATACATCATTTCAAACAGTAAACTGTAACTGCAACACCATTGTCTTATAGCAAGTATGGTTCCGATTCTTGGGCCTGTGAGAAACTTTGGGCAGATTTTGCAGTCTTAAATCCATGCTTGTAGTATTAAAATGAGTAGCAGACTGAAAAAGCTAAATTATTCATTGCAGTAACAGACTTTTTGATGGACATTAAAACTCAGCAGTTTAAATAAGGAAACCACAGATTTCCTTTTAAGCAGGTAATAACTGCTTGCCTCAGTGGTTATTTAATTGGTCTCCAGCCAAGAAATAGAAATCAGTTGTGCTGTTTAAATCATGCAATTATGTTATGCAAAGCCATATACAGTATTACAATGTATTGATAAGAGACAACACAAGAAGTAAACTAAGTTGATTTATACTATCTATTGGATAACTATAAAACATTTCTAAAAGGACAGTATAAAAATTCAGTTCGCAGAGAATAAAAAACCCAAGAAAGTAATTTTTAAGAGTTTAAGTGTTAATTCATAGGCTATATGATTTGTCTATTAAATAGAATGGTTTAGTTTTTAAAATGCCACTTAATAGAAATGATTTTCACTTTTTAAGCACA